ACTTGACAATTTACAGCATACATTGCCTAATTCGATCCTCAGAATAATCCTATGAAGACAGCATTCTTATTCTCTCCTGCTATTCCCACATGGCAAAGCTGAAGGTGTCTCATCATTATCAGATAGTAAATGATAGAGCTGGGATTTCATTCATGTCTTCAGATTTCAAGTCCCATGCTCTTTTGCTCTATACCATCCTGAAGAGAAAAGCTATCAATATGTTTAAGCTGTCGAGAGAATAAGCCAGAATAAATTGCTAAAACTTCCAGTATCTTTAAGCTTCAATAAGGGAAGTCTGTGAAGGGTGATCGTAATTTTCAGAATAAGAAGAAATTTCCAGAATAAGAAGAAATAAGTTTATCTAAAGATTAAGTCAAGACCAGTTCATTTACTGAGCTCCCAGTATATGCCAGGCACTTTTCAAGGTGCTGGGAATGCAAAGGTGGGAAAGACATGGCCCTTGGACCCTGCAATCTCACAGTCCTTAGGAGGAGATGAATGCATAAGTAAATAGTGCTAAATCATTGTGGTTAATGAAGTGAAAGGAATATGTAGAAGGACTTTGAGAACACACAGAAAACCATCTACCTTGCCCTGCAGTATGTCAGAGAGATGTCCTGACTGAAGATAGCCCCAAAGTCCACCTAGACATATTCTCACGATGCTTTTGGACTGTCAGGTCTGCTTTCACTTGTTTTTGTATCCCCAGCATCTAATATATGACTGGGGCTCAGTGCATTCGTGTGTTTAACGACACTGAACTGCTAGGGTCAGAGATTCTGAGGACACTCATGAAATGCTGGTCCCCTCCCTTGGAATATGACTCTCAGGCCACATGATAAATGTCTTTTCAGTTTCTTAGTTTGTCTGATCTTTCTTACCATGAAAGATTTTCAAACAGTGATATCTTAAAAATTTTTTTAACATTTATTCATTTTTGAGAGACAGGGAGAGACAGAATATGAGCGAATTTCAGCACAGAGCCCAATGCAGGGATTGAACTCACGAAGATGTGAGATCATGACCAGAACTGAAGTCGGCCGCTTAACCGACTGAGCCACCCAGGCACCCAACAGTGATATCTTAAGGAAACTTGTGACATTCCTTTCTTTTACAACTTTGGGCCACAGATTTTCTCCTTTTCCAAAGGTAGCCCTACGTGAGAGGCAAGCTCTCAAGGTTTCCTGCAGCCTAATGATCTGTTGACTCTTGGTCCGGATTTCTCTTACTCAATAGAAAAAAAAATGTTTTTGTGTGCTTCTTGCATTGAATGGCCTCACATGTTGTCAGTGCAGTTGATAACACCATAAATTAAACAACCTCCAATTTGATCAGTTGCTAATTCCTGTCTATTCTACCACAAAATTGACTTCTGAATCTCTCCTTTCTCTCTCTCTCTCTCTCTCTCTTTTTTTTTTTAAATTGATAGTACCTAGTCATCCTCCTTTGCCTAGAGTTTTGCATTAACATTCTAATCCCATGGCCACAGAGCTTCCAACGTGATCTCTGGACTTTCTTTTTCAAAAAACTTTGATAGCTCTTCACCGCTAAGGGGATAAATTCAATGCCCTTTTAGCATAGTTTTCCAGGCCTTTATGCCCTGAAAAGTGATTGGGTTGGAATGAATTACAGTGTATTGTTTGTAACCAGGGCAGTCACAGCCCATGATCAGTTAGTTCTTTCTCTAAGTTGAAGTCAGTTGATAAAAACAGTCTTGCATATCTGAATTCCTTACCCCACCAAATACAGAGTTGCAAAACAGTTACAAGACTTCTCTGCCTGGATGCTGAGAAGATTTTCTCCAAAAACAAACAAACAAAAATTTTTAAAAATCAAAAAAACAAAAACAAAAAAACCAACCAACCAACCAAACAAAAAACCCCCACACCATTACTCTCTTGGAGAAGTGGAAGCTATGAAAATAACAGCTTTTTCAACTGATGGAAGGCCCTATGCATCCTATGATGGTGATTTAGAAACAGTTATTTTACTAGAATTGAGATTATAACCATTTTCATGCATCAACAGAGGCTCAGGTATCAGCCTCTTAAATTCTATTGTCAACTCTACTGTCAGTTGAACCTTGCCTTTAGGTTCTCCAGGGTCTGCTGGAACTTTAACTGCTGAAAACTTTAGAGATATTGGCTCATTCAAAAATCCTATATATTCATCAGGGTAGGGCTCAGTGGTAGAGCTTTCGACTACAAAAATACTATACAGGACTTGCTGTGCTGGTTTAAACACCTGTGTGTGTGTGTGTGTGTGTGTGTGTGCGCACGCGCGCTCGTGCATGTGTGTGTAAATCCTGTTCTTCACACTCCACTAATGTGACCACTGCCTCCAACAATAAGGGAAATGTGTCTGAACTGTGGTCTAAGCAGTTGTGGTACATCCTACTGAATTCTCCACCTTCTCCCCTCTCCATCAGTCTGGTTTACCTGTAGATGACAAAGAGACTCTTTCAATAAGGAGGAAAATTGTCTACTGAGTCAGACAAAATACATTGATTAAACTCAAGCCTCTTATTTTTGAAGCTGGAGTTTGTCTGGCACAACAGCTGGGGCTTAATTCAGAGGTGATGACACAGTGGTTTGGGTCTTGAAAAGTGAGTTATTAAAGTTCCCTTCTGAAAAATATCTGTTATTTCCGTTCTTTTCTATGCCTTGGCTCTTGTTTTTTCACTGTTCCAAGGTAATAGAAAAAAACCAGTAAAGGGTAAGATCAGTTCATATAGCTCTGGGAAATGTAGAAACGAGTGAGGTCTCTTCTTGTCTGTTATGCTCCTATGCTCTGCCAGCAGGATAACTGTGATGGTCTAGATTTGATGCCTGATTCCTCCATAAATGTCTGCGAAGTTGATTCACCCATGGCAAGAAGGGGTTGTTGGTTGATATTGGTGAGAGAGTCTTTGTCTCTGATAGTTGCTATCCTGTGATCCATTCCTATAACCCTATTAAGGATCTCTCTTTGGATAATGAAGGAGTCTCCCGGCCCCCTGGCCTCCTTCACAAATGAGTAGAAAAGATAAAAGAAGGGGAAGAGAAGGAGATAGAAAAATGCAACTTGGGCCCTAAGAGCCTACCTCCGATTCTCTCTCATTGGTGCCTCTATGGGCTTCTCTTATCAAGCTTCCTGCAGGACTCAGTGGAGTTTCAGGACTAGGGCTGATGCTGCACTTCCCAGGGAAACAGCCTGAAGCTTTAGTTCAGGGGCAGGGGGAAGAGTGGGCATAATGGCGGAAAGAGGAAGCAGATGTTTGTGTCAGATGGTAGGTCTGCTGAAAGGTGGAGCTCATGATTGGCACCAGAGGTAGAGCAGAACTTGAGGTGGTCAAGAATGAAAAACACCCTTGTGTTGACCACAATAATTATCAGGTACTGAATAACTTACTGTGTGCTGGGAACTTCTCTAGATGCTTTAAATGTGTTAACTGATGGAGTCCCTCAACAACCCTGTGAGTCGGTATGATTAATCACACAGTACATACGAAGAAATGGAGGTTAACTAAGTGACTAAATAGCTTGCCTAAGGTCTTATGACTAATAAGTGGCAGAAACAGGATTCAAACTCTCATATGACTATATTCTTAACCACTGTACCTTACACTGATCTTACATGACCCTGATCTGATTTTCCCCTTTATCAGAAAATCGGGATGATAACAGACATTGCTTAAAACAAATGGCGTTTAGAAATCACTCATCAGAAACTCTCTGGCCACCTGGATATAGATATGCAAATATTGGAAATAACTAAGAAAGAATCTGCAAAGTGTGTGTATAACCATGAATATGAGCAGACTGTGGACGTCCCTGGGAATGAGTTGTCAGGGTCCACCAGCCTTTTGCCGCTAAATTCTGATCACTCTGATCCATCCAGAGGCTCCTAGTTAACTCCATTAACTCCTTTATTCACTTATCTATAAATTCATTTCCTCAACAAATATTTATTGAGTGCCTGCTAGATGCCATACCTTATTTCAGGTATAGGATACATCAGTAAACAAAAACAGTTAAATATGCCTTCATTTATGGAGCTCAAATTCTAGTACAGAAAGACAGGAACAAACAAAATAAGTAAAATAAGAGGGATACACACACACACACACATACATATAAGGATATATATGTATATATATATGGGTATATATACATGTATATGTGTGTGTGTGTGTATATATATATATATATATATGAAAACAACAGGTGCTATTGAGAAAAAATAAAATCGGAAAGCACTGAAAGGGTATTGTACTTTTAAATAAGATAGTCACAGAAAGCCTAACTGAGAAAGTAACAGTTGAGTAAAACCTAAAGAATGTGAGAGCCAAGTGTATATCTGAGGGAAGACTATTACAGGCAGACAGACTCGATGGTCTTAGATGGCAGTGCGTGTCTGTATATATAGGGAACATTAAGGGAGACACAGTAGCACTGGAAAAGAGTAAGCAAGGTTAAGAGTAGTAAGAGTATGGGCCAGAGTAATAAGGGATCAGACTGTGACCTTAAAGGCCATTGTAATGACTTTGGCTTTTATTCTGAATAACCTGAAAAACCACTGGGACATAAGCAGGCAGGTGATGTAGTCTTACATGTTTTTTTTTTTAATTTTATGTATTTATTTTGAGAGAGAAAAAAAACACACACACAAGTGGGAGAGGGGGAGAGAGAGAGAGAGAGAGAGAGAGAGAGAGAGAGAGAGAATCCCAAGCAGGCTCCGTACTGACAGTTAGATGTGAGGCTTCAAACTCATGAACCTCGAGATCATTACCTGAGCCAAAGTCGGACACTCAACTGATTGAGCCACTCAGGCACCCAGTCTGACATGTTTTAAAAAGACCACTCTTACCTCTGTGTTGAGAATACACTACAGGGGGATAAGGATGGAAACAGATCAGTTAACTTGAAAAGGCTTTTGCAATAATCTAAACAAGAGATTATGGCTGTATTAGTTTCTTTTTGTTACTATAACAAATTATCACAGATTTAGTGTCTTAAAGCCATCCAGATTTATTATCTTACAGGTTCTAGGTCAGTAGTCAGGTACAGGTATCACAGGACAAAAATCAAGATGTTGGCTGGCTCTGTTCCTTTCTGGAAGTTCTAGTGGGTGAATTTATTTCCTGCTCCTGTGGTTGTAGGATTGAGGTCCCTGTTTTCTTGCTGACTGTAAGTTCAGGGCTATCCCAGCTTGTAAAGGCCTCTCTCCAGTCTTTTCACATAGCCCCTTACATCTCAGAACCAGCCACAGCGTGTTGGATGTTTCTCATGCTGCCATCTCTCTAACTCCTCTTCCACTGTCACATCTTTCTCTGACCCACCTAGGAAAGATGCATGTGATTAGATTGAACTAACTCAGACAATCCAAGTAATCTCCCCATCTCAAGGTTCACACTCTTAATCACATCTGTAAAATCCCTTTTGCCATGCAAGGTAACATTTTCATAGGTTCCAGGGCTTAGGGTGTGGATATCATTGGAGAGGGGGTAATTATTCTGCCTATTACAGTGTCAATTTGGATCACAGTGTAGTGGTAGTGATGGTGAGAGGGAGTAGATTCTGGAGATATATATATATCTGTATATATATATATACAGATATATATATATGGGTAAATTGCAGATATATATATCAATATCTATATCTATATCTATCTATCTATCTATCTATCTATCTATCTATCTATCTATATCAATTTACATGTGATCCAGATCTGGACCATTCATTCTCAATATCTGAGTGTTTGTTCAATAAAGGACCAATAATGTCCAACAAAGAGAGATGGAAGGTGTTTGGGAAAAGAGGAACTGATGAAGGACCTCTCCTGCAAGTTGGGAGAGGTGGGCGCTGAGATGTCAAAGCATCCAGAAAGAAGAAAGATACGTGCTCTTCCTAAACAAGACAGAATGAAGTTGATGACTTTAAACACAAACATCCTCTGAGATGGTAGAAAGTGATAGGTGACGGAATGCAGGCTGGATTGAAATTCCAAGAGTGTGGACTCGCCTTTGTTCATGTGCTGCGTTCCCTAATTATGTTATTTACTTCAGTTCTGTAACTCAGGTCCTTCATATTTCCCTTGGTGGTGGGAAGGGTGAGGAGTAGGTTTGGGGGACTCTGGCTAAGTCTTGGATGGATGGAGTCTTTTAGTTTTTTCCACCTGCCTCAGAGTTTCTCAGGTATTTTCTTCCAAAACGATGCCTTTTCTAACAATACCCTTGTTCCTATACATGGATAGAATCAGCTATGAGTCTTCCACAGCCCTGAGAAGAGGCATTATCGCTAACAAAACCACTTGATTGCTTCTCATTTTAAGCCCACATTTTGTCTCTCCTGATGGGAAGATGCTCCCCTGGAAACCGGATTTCTTAGTAAGTATGAAATCCACCAAAGCATGGTACAGCAGGCTGGGAATATGGGAGCCGAACACCTTCCCATTGTGCTGTCAGGCTTGTCTTGACCAGTGTCTAGGAGAAATGATGTGAGTCACCTTTGGCAGAAGCTTTAGGAACCCATGCGAGGCTCTTTGTTTTCCCTTCTGCCCTGGTGACTGGCAATATTCTACATTAGTGGCAGCTCCATCAGCCTGAGACTCAAAGTGAGGCTGATGGTAACAGCATAGCCCCAAGCCATCCTTCTAGAATTGTCACAAAAATGAGAAATCGACCTTTAGGCTACTGGGGCTGGAATGTTGTTTATTACTGTGGTGTACCCTGGTTTATCTTGATTGGCACAAAACTCTGCTATTGAGTGCAGGATTGTGTAGCCCACCAACTCAGCAACCAACTAAAGAAATGCTATAGATGATGCCCCCGGCCTTTGCTGCTTTAATTTCAACATAAGGTGATATATTTGCAAAGACTATGGTGACTTTCGCTTCATTTCCCCATTCCCTTCCATTGTTCTTTCTCTGTCTTCTACCATACCTCTTCATCTATCATGTTAGAGATGTTAAGACTCTTTCTTTTATTCTGTAGGAAAGCGTCACCCATGCTTGGCCCAAGGATCTGCAAAATTACATATCATCTCCTTCATTACAGGCATTGAGACATTTTTAAACGCATATTATTCAACAAATGATGGTTTCAGTTCCAGTGCATAATAAGAAAATGGAAAACCCAATGCATTTTCTGCCTATGCCTGTAGAAACAGACAACCAGTGATTTATTTTATCATAATAAAAAAGTATTTATGCTGTGATTCATGTCTCTAATGCGGTGTCATTATTCTGTGGCTGTGCTAACTATAGAGGAAGAGTTGTTTATAGTCACAGACAGAGCGTCAGACTGAGACCCAAGAGTTATTCCAAGAACGGTGACAAGAACAGCGTGTGTTAGAAGAAACTGCCCAGCTGGAAGTAGGATTGTGCGAAGTAGAAGTAACCTAAATATTCTTTCTATTATCCTCTGTGCTTTTCTTCTCTCAAGGGAGAATTTCTTTTGTGTGGTCTTTTTTTTTTTTTTTCAACGTTTATTTATTTTTGGGACAGAGAGAGACAGAGCATGAACGGGGGAAGGGCAGAGAGAGAGGGAGACACAGAATCGGAAGCAGGCTCCAGGCTCTGAGCCATCAGCCCAGAGCCCGACGCGGGGCTCGAACTCACAGACCGCGAGATCGTGACCTGGCTGAAGTCGGATGCTTAACCGACTGCGCCACCTAGGCGCCCCATCTTTTGTGTGGTCCTTATCGGAGCAGCTAGCTCTTTCATATTCTACTCCTTAATGGTGACTTTTAAAAATATCTAAGTTTGTGATGAAATCACTCTCTAAAGATCCCTTTGGGATTTCCACAGAAAAAGGAAGTACACATAGCTAGCTTGAGAGTATACATAACAGCCTGGACAGGTCTGAACCAGCCACAGAACATGAACATTCAGTGTGTATTCTTCCTACTTGACCACTTCTAACAAAGCCTTAGTATTCTCTTCCCTTGAGACAGATAGAATAACTATGTTTCCAGAATAATGCTAGGTGACTTGAGTTTTCTTTAGAAAGTCATACATTTGGGGCACCTGGGTGGTTCAGTCGGTTAAGTGTCTGACTTCAGCTCAGGTCATGATCTCACGGGTCCACGTCGGGCTCTATGCTGACGGCTCAGAGCCTGGAGCCTGCTTCAGATTCTGTGTCTCCCTCTCTCTCTGCCTTTCCCCTGTAGGCAGAGGCCATGACCGAAGTTGCTTTGATCCCTTCTCAGTTTTCTACCCCAATGAAAATGAGATGAGGGTGTAAACAAACATTGGTGTTTATGCAGCTGGTATCCTGTTGGCATCATTTTAAACTTTTTGATTGAAAACAACGTAGGGGTTTGTTGTTGTTTTCGATGCTGTTTGAAAGTCGGGCATCTCTGAGAGGCAAGGGCAACAGGGTTATATACTGTATATGTTTGCTGACATGACTTTGCCTTTGACCAGAGTGGCACAGGACTAACTAATTGACTCAAACTTGTGTTAAGAGTGTATTTGATGGGGCGCCTGGGTGGCTCAGTCGGTTAAGCGTCCAACTTCGGCTCAGGTCAGGATCTCATGGTTTGTGGGTTCAAGCCCCGTGTCGGGCTCTGTGCTAACAGCCTGGAGCCTGCTTTGGATTCTGTGTCTCCCTCTCTCTCTGCCCTTCCCCCTCTCATGCTCTGTCTCTCTCTCTCTCAAAAAAAAAAAAAAAAAAAGAAGAAGAAATAAAATGAAAACATTAAAAAAAAGAAAGTCATACTTTTCAAAAGAATGATATATAACAAACACCCATATTATCATGTCCCCAATTTTAAAACTGTTCATAATTTCTATATTTCTTTCTGGCCTTTGTATGTGTATGTATTTTTTTAAACATATTTTATGTGCATCTTTTATTTTTAGAAAAAAAATAGTAAGATGTAAAATTCCCCTTTGATCTTATCTCCAAACCTGTTGTTTTCTCCACTTCCTAGAGACAGCCACTATGATAAGTTGATATTCATCCATTTGAGTACCTTAACATACATCAAGAGAAATCCAGAAACAAGATGTAATATTTCTAGGGATTTTGAAAAAATTATATAAAGAGTCATTCTATACATTTCATTCTGCAGCTGTTTTTTTTTGAATTTATATTTAATAAATATAATAATATTATAAACATAATAATAAATATATAATAAATATCATATTGGGGCACCTGGGTGTCTCAGTCAGTTGAGCAACCTACTCTTGATTTCAGTTCACGTCATGATACCAGGGTCGTGGGCTCGAGCCCTGCATCAGGCTCCGTGCTGCATGTGGCACCTGCTTAAGATTCTCTCTCTTCCTCTGTCCCTCTCCCCTGCTTGCTCTCTCTCTCTCTCTCTGTCTCTCAAATAGATAATAAATTTAATATTAAGTGTTTTAGACCTCTTCTTATTGATTCACATACCGGGGTCCCTTTCTTTTATATAGATAGCAATGCATTGCATGAAGATTTCTTTATTAATTGGCATTTGGGCCACTCCTAAACTTTTTGCTGCTTCCAACAAGGGTGTGATACACATCTATTTGTGTGTCCTCCTGTGTGCATGTACAGATGTTTCTGTAGGGTGTGTACCTAGAATGGGAAATGCTGGGTTACAGGGTTAACACCTTTCTCATTTTACAGTCATACTGGTGTCCCAAGTGGCTGTGTTCCAGGTTACATTCCCATAAGCCCAGTATAGGATTATCTGTTTACCCATCCTCCTCCTGTATACTGGTGATTGAATGTTATAATTTTTAAATATGGTTAGTCTGGTGGGTAAAAGATGCTCTCTCATTGTCGTTTTAATCCATGTTTCCATGATTACTGGTCAGACTGAGCATCTTTTCATATATTTATTGGCCATTCGTGTTTCCTCTAAATTCATTCCATGTCTACATTATCTCTGCCGATTTTTTCTGGCACACAAAATAAGTACACTCAAAAAGCATTTATACATAAGAAGAAACCGAAGAAGAGGGAAAATAATCTTCAGTCTTGTTTATTAGTGCGATTCTCCTGCATTTATCTGTAAAGAGTGACTGCATTGTACAATTTCATCCTAGGAAGAGAACACAACGTCATCACACTCATTGACTGCCTAGCTATGCTATTTAGTCACAAAGCACCTTCAAAATGGAACAAAAAAAAGAACTGTGTAACCTCCTTCAGAATTAAAACATTAACATGCTTTAAGTACACATCACTGTGTAATGACGAAAACATGGGCTTTGAAGTCGGAAGGAGGTGACTTCCTCGTTCAGCTACCTCGTCAATTTCTTTCTAGGGAAAACTTGGGAAGAGCACTTAGCATCTCTGAACCTCCGGGATATTTTCTTACTTTACTTGGTCTTTCCAGCACCTGG